TTTAGGTGGCAATCATTAGAATGCTTAGTCTAGATGTATAATAAACTACTTTTATTGAAAAGCACTTGGGGCCCTAGGGAGGTAGTTCAGTGGTAGAGCACCTGCCTAGCAGGCCCTGGGTTTGATCCCCAGCATCACACACAAATTGCTATTATGTTCCCATTTCAATTCTGATCAATTTTTACGAAGTTCCTCTCTAATTTCTGTGATCATGGCAGTTTTTCTCTCAAGTGGCTAGATGCTTTCAATGGCTTTTAGACTCAATTTGAGGACTGGTTTGCTAGTGCTGCTAAGAGAAAAATGCATCTAATTTGTCAAAACTAAATTAACTCCTAATACACAAGAGGATAAGCCTAAGCTGTAAACAGTTGATAAAAATATAAACACTTTTATTCTCCTTGTTCCATGTGGATTTAAATTTAATTATTAAACTCACATTCATATGTCCAAACAAAGCAGACACAATTAGCACAATTTTTAAAGTCCTATCATCTTACGATTACTTATTTAACCAAGAGACCATACAAAGTCCAACTAATTTAACCCAACAAGTTGGGTTTTTTTTTTTTTTTCTACCCAGCATAAGGTCTTTAAATAGCTTTTAAAAGAGAAAATCCATATCAAGTCTCCTTTGGAACACTGGTTATATTTTGAGCTAAACACTAATAGTGCAAGGCATTTTCTAATGCTAGTCACAATGGATCTTTAATTTTCAATATACCATTATTCCCTCTAGAGCCCTAAGGGAAACTGCCATCACTGAACATATAGGTGTGGGTTTCAAATGCATGTTTCAAACGTGATCAGTTAATTGACATCTTACAACTGAAATGCCTCTGCTTGCTCCATGCCTGGTGTTCTCAAAGAGTTTCTCTGGTCAATGTCTTTATGGGCCAGACGTGTAAGGTAAAGGCATTTGTTAGATCCAACTTGGCAATTTATGGCCTAGACCCTGAGCATTCCTGACGTGTTCAGACATGGGTTTGGCGTTCCATTAAGTATGCATCTAGTCCCCAAAAGACCAGGTCTCCCAGTTCTCCTTTGTCAGCATTCCTGCAGTACAGTCCTTTCTCGGCAGGTCCCTCTTTCCTTGGGGAGCATCTCCTAATGGGCTCAGAGCAAGGTAGTCAGGATGCCAACCCTTTTGCTTTATGTACCAAAAAGTCTCTTCCTGAAAACTGGAGAGGAAAGCTGAGACCTGCATCACCCTCTGGGAGTAACAGCCCAAGCATTCACTGCCTCGCCTGACCTTTGGCCATGTTAGCTTTGGCTGTGGGCATTTCGGGGCAGTCATGGGGGGGAGCTATATTCCTGACACCTATTTAGAAGCAGAAGTCCCCACAGCAGCTGCTTTCTCATAGAAGCCCTGCTGTCCTTTGTTCCTTTGCATTAATGGACCTTCTCTGATGGTCCTCTCCTTGTAGCTGATCTTTAGGAAGCATTTCTGTGTGGGGTGCGGGGCTTTCTTTTCCAATCACTTTTCTGCAGACAGGTTTCTGATCCGATTCAAGGCCACATCCCGGGGACCTGGTTTATGTCGCTCCAACAATTACTGCTCCTGACAAACTGCTGTGGGTTCTGAGGCCACTGCTGTCATATTGCATTTCCTGACCATTTTCCAGGTCCCCCAGTACACATTCAGAGACACACAAACATGTGCACATGTGCTGCACATACAGGGACGCACTCCTCAACACCCTCTGTGGTATCCAAACAAGTCTATGACCTCCAGGAAGCTAACCCAGCAGAGCACCGAAGCACACAGTGAGTGCTCAAAGGAAGTACGCCAAATGCAAAGCTGGGGAGCCTGGGAATAAAGGATGGAGGTGGGAAGACACCTCCAAAGCTCTCTGCAGGTTCTAGAAAGGAGGGTGGTACATGCCAATGGCAGTCAAGCCTGAGGGGTGGTAGCAGAGACAGACACATTTAAAACTGCCTGGCACTGGCTCCTGGGGTTGGGGGAGGGAGTAAATAGTGAGCTCCCTGTCACTGGATAAATACAAGCCAGGGTGGCACAACTCCTGATGGGAATGTTGTAGTGAAGAATTAAACTTCATGTGGGGCCCTGATTTGGGGCACTGAAAGGAGAACAGAAGAAAAAAGGGGTGGAGTGGGGTGAAAAATGAAAGAACAAAAGTAAAAGAGATAGGAAAGAATGCCAGAGGCTAGGGATTATTGTGTACATGAGCCCAGAGAAAGAAAACCAGAGCACCGAGAGGCCTGGGTCTCAGAACCCTGCCCTCGGCCGCCAGCACCTACCCCTTCCTGTCCTGGGGCTTTAGGCCTGGCCTTGCTCAGGGAGCACAAGTTCTGGCTGAGCAGTGCCTGCTCCTGATAGGAAGCTTTGGCCCAGACAAAGAAGGGGTTGAACCCTTAGCTCCCCTGTCCCTTTCCCAGTAGGTACTCAGCACCCCTGGGAGTGTTAGGAGGGCCCTCAATCCTGAGGGCAGGGGGACAGGAAGGAGGATTAGGTTGGGCCCAAACTGCTCAGTAGTGGCAGGTGGAACAAAGCAACTTCTGAAGGAGAGTGTTGCTGGCCAAGGGTGGGCTGTAGGGGAGGGACTTCCCTGGGACCCAGGCAGTGCTCAGGCAGCGGCCCTTGGAAGGGATTTTTCTCTAAAACAGTTACTGGTTTGAGAAAGGAGCCTGGCTCAGGCTCTCAGAAGTGTCACAGTCTCAGCCAGGAGACAACCCTGGAGAGAGAACAGGGTGCTGGTGCCTGACCCAGGCCAATTAGGAAGACCTTACACCCACAGAGAGGGCGAGGGAGGGTCAGCATGGAAGCCCATCTGTACCACTCATTTCTGTTGCTTTCCTCTTCCACCCGCTTCCCAGACACTACCTACTCCTTAGGTGCATTCAGCAGAAACACACAAGCAGCCCAACCTCAGCACGTCAGGCTGGTCTAGAGCCCAGGGTCTACTCTCGATTCCCCATTTCTCCCCTTACCCATGTCCAGAACTATTAATCAGTGCACTTTCATCCCTGACTCCATGTGGCCCCCCAGGACCGCTGGCAGCTGTCCATGCATCATCCAGGGAGCACACCCCACTTGCCCTACAACACATGCAGAGAAAGGAGCCAGCTTGTCCCGTGGACTCTCTGTCCCCTGGTTTCATCCTTTTCTGCTCTCCATGTGGTGCCTGCTCTGGAATTTGTGTTATGACTTCTATGTCAGCCACAACAGCCCTGTCCCGGTGAATCCCCTCTGCCCCATCCCCAGTTTCCTAGAGAGTTCAATAGCTGGTGTTCAATAGAAAGGAGGAGGTTCACTGCTGCACCCCCACAGGGCACGGGTGCACACACTCATATGCAAACCCATGCACACCCTCCTGGAGGAACTCTCCACTTCTCCAGCTGGGCCTGCAGACATTTGCCCTTTCCATACACTTCCGGTCTTCTCATACCCCAAGAGATTTCACCCCGCCACCTCAGATTCAGAGAATAGAAGTGCAGGGGCAGGTATCCAGGTAGGAACACCTGACAAAATCACAAGGCAATCCGACCAATACGGAATCGCACAAAAGATCCCAAGGGGAGGCTTCTCCTTTCCTCACCCTCTTCCCTCGTCCCTCAGGCCTCCTTCTTCTGTCCCCCTACAAAAGTCACAGAGCCCAGTTCAAATCGATTGTTTTATTGACAGTGTACATACAGACGCCTTTAGAAAAGGACGCGAGCTGCGGGGACTATTTCGCCCGGAGCCACGCTTGTGCTGCGCTTGGCCGAGAGAGCTGCTCCCGAGGCCTGAAACCCACCCGTGACGCTTTCCTGCAAAACCCAGAAAGGAACCCCGCCCTGCCCCCGCGCCCCTTTCCCCCTCCCTCCCCGCTCCCTGCCTCCCGCCCGCCCCCCTACACTACACGGTACAGGACACAGACTTCTCCTACAGACCACGCTCGGCTACGACGACACGCGGCAAACACTATTCTCGCGGAGAGGGGGGCGGGGCGGGAACAGAGCGGCTTCCCAGTCCCCAGCGCAGGCTACAGGCTTTGTGCGCTCCAGGGCGCCAGCCCCCGGAAGACAAGCGGCCCCTGGAGCCTTAGTCCAGGTCCAGTGCCCCGCGCTTGCTGCCTGGGGGCACGCGCCCGGATGAGCTGTAGAAGCAGCTATTGCGCGCGCCCATCTCTGGCTCCCGCAGGATACGGACGACGACATTGGCCTGGGACCCAGCCGGGCCCCCTCTGCACAACCGGGGAGAACGGTCCCCGGGCGCTTTTAGTTAGGAGAGGGGCAGGAGAAAACGGATTCCTGTCCTCGCCTCTTGATACACGCACACCCTGTCTTCCAAAGATTGGGAAGGGGGTGTTAGCACCAGACCCAGAATGTTAGTTGTTTTTTTTTTTTTTTTTTTTTAATAACGAAACAGAAAATCAGAACACGGAACTCCAAGGCGCTCTGGGCACCTGATTGGGTTCCAGCTGGGCAGAAGTGGGATGGGGCGGGGATGGGGGTTTGGCAGGATTTGGTTTCCTGTCTGGAGGGGGGCTTCCAAACTAAAATGTAGCTGGCTTCCCCTACGTGCAGCCCAGAAAAGGCAGAGGCCCGCGTGCCCCACCACGCCCAGGAGCCACATTACCACCAGACATTTCCAAAGTCTTCCCCTGGCTCCAGAGCACACAGGCGAGCACAGGCCAGCGGGCTGCCCTTCGGATTTAGGTTTTAATAATCATAAGAATGGAGGGGCATAGACAGACTGCGCCTGCCCCCAGTCGGTGGTGCTTTGTGTGGGGAGGCTGAAGCAGAGCGGTGTGCTTGGGGAAAACAGATTGAGCCCATCGAGAGAAAGGCGCCCACGGGTGGCCAGGGACGGGAATTCGGGCCACTTCCTACTCGGAGTTCCCAGCGGTCACTGTTGGGGAGGAGCGAGGGGATTGAGGGCAGGGAGTGGGGAGCATAAATTCTGCCAGCCCTAGGTTTCCGCTGCCAGGCGCGCCAGGCACCCCAAGTGGGGTGAGGCGGGTGGGCTGGGTACACTGGGGGTCACCCCGCTGTCTGCCTGTAGTTGCCGTTAATTTCCTGTGCTAGGTTGACCGCCTCCGCGCCCAGGGGCAGCCGATCGCTGTACTCAGAGCCTGCCTCGAACTCCTCATGGTTGGCCTTAGACTGCGATTCCGCCAGGGAGCAGGCGGCCAGGCTCTCCTCCCGCTGCAGGTCCCCGTGCGGGTCCCCCTGCTCCGGGTCCTCGTCGAGCTCCTCCCCCGGGGCCTCCTCGGGTTCCTCGCCACCCTCTCCACCGCCCGCCTGGTAGCTCTTCTCGGACTCCAAATAGGACGCGCGCTGGTCGAAGTCCGCAGCGATGCGCTTCTCCATGGGGTCGGGAGCCTGCGGCCGCAGGATCAGACGGTAGGGCTTGCCAGGGTGCTTGGCGAGCAGGTGGCAGCAGGCAGCGCCCAGCAGGGGTACGGTGGCCAGCACCAGCAGAAACACGCTCACTGCCACGATGACCAGCAGTGAGGGTAGCTCCTTCTTGGTGGCGAACACTACTTGCACGTGACAGGCCTCGCCCGCCAGCGCCAGGCACACAGAGTAGTTGGTGCCAGGCCGCAAGCCCCGGAACCAGTACGCGTTGACGCCCTCCTCCACGCGGGACCACTGCACGGCCGCACCGCCCCCGGCTGGGCACAGGTAGAGCAGGCGCAGGGGCCTCCGCCCGGGCCGCCCAGCTCCCCCAGCCCCACCCGGCCCGGGACCCCAGCGTGCAGCCAGGGGCGTCAGCTGCACCCGCGCCTCGCGCTCCGCCACGTCCAGCGCGATGACGCCCAGTTCGAAGACGTGCGGCTTGAGCTCTGAGCTCTGGTTGAACGCGTGGTTGGACACGTACCGAGAAGGGTCCCCGTGGCCGCAGTGTTGCTCCTCGCCTGGGTTCACCGGGATCTGGTCTTCCGCCTCGTCTCCTCCGTCTCCCTCCTCCTCCAGCTCCGCCTCGGTCGCCTCCAGGATGCTGACTCGAGCCGTGCCCTGGCCTTTGCCTTTGCCCTCAGGTTTGGAAGGCAGGACGCTGTTGCCCCGGCCTTTGGCGGTGACCTTGCGCTCAGAGGTCGGGGTCTGCCTGTCGGGGTCTCCCCCCACGCCAGGAGCGTGCTTCGGGGGCCCAGCGGCAGCCACTGCCACGCGTACTGATGTCGAGTTGGCACCCAGCTCATTGTACGCGCGGCATGTGTAGATGCCCGCCTCCTTGGCACTCAGGAGCGGGACCAGTAAAGAGCCATTTGCCAGGGCCAAGAAGCGCGGCGTGGCGGGGGGCGCGGGCCACGCAGGTGCTGGAGTCGGGGTTGGGGCCTCCGTCTGGGTGGGGACTTCCCCATCTCCTTCCTCCGTCCTATCCTCTGCTCCTTCCGCATCGTCCTCCTTGCGCTGGATCGGCGCCTCTAAGACCACCGTGCCGCCCGGGATCTGAAGTTGCCATTGCAGGCGGGGAGTGGGGTGGCCTTCAGCGACGCAGTGTAACGTGAAAGCCAAGCCAGCACGCAGAGGGGCGCCAGGTGTCTCGAGCGCAGGCTCTGCGCTCAGCCGCACACTGGGCGGCGCACAGGGCAGAGCGGGCAGGCCGTGCACCGGCACCCCTTTCAGCGCTGGGGGAGAAGCGCAGGCGATGGAGTCGGGCTCGGGCAGCGAGACCCGTGTGCTGGCGGCCCAGGCTTGCAGCCACAACAGGCCGCAGCCACAGTGGAAGGGATTGTGGTACAGCTGCAAGTGGGACAGCGCGCCGAGCGCGTCGAAGGTACCGGGCTCCAGCGTGCGCAGCCGGTTATTGTTGATGCGCAGCGAACGCAGGTCCGGCAGCGCGCCGAGCGCGTCCCGGGGCAGGGAGCCCAGGCGGTTGTGGTTCATTTTGAGCAACTGGAGCGCGCTCAGGTTGTGCAGGTCGCTCCAAGGGAAGTTGGAGATAAGATTGTGGCTCAGGTCGAGGTTCTTTAGTTGACTCAGCACTGCCAGGGCCCCGGGCTCCACCGTGCGAACCTCATTATGTGCCAGCCACAGCGACGTGACCTGCGTGACGTTGACGAAGGCCCCGCGCCTTAGCACAGTGATCTTGTTGGCAGACAGACTCAGCGTAGTCACGTTGGCGGGCAGTCCTTCGGGCACCTCGCGCAGCTCCTTGTAGGCGCAGTCTGCAAACTGGTGCGCGTACTTGTCCACGCAGGTGCAAGGCTCGGGGCACGCCCGGGCCACTCCTAGCAGCGCCCAAGCCAACCACACCGCTCGAAGGGGCACCATCTCCGTTCCTGCGAAGGAAGTGGGGGGTGACTACCGAGCTCCAGCTTAGCCTAGGCGCTAATAATCTCTGCACCCAAGAACTTCTCTTGGATGCAGCTGCAGCTCAATATAAGTCTTGGGATTCTATAGAGCCCCCCTCTCAGGGACTCGGCTCCCCAGTCACTGATCAGCAGTGGGCTCCGCACTGACCTCTCTGTGTTTCTAAGTCTTCATTTAACCAGGTAAGATGGACATACAGAAAGGATGTTTTTATCCATGGCTGTCTGTCCTCCCTGGAACGCTTTGTCCCACCCATGCACACAGCAACACAAACAGAAGCTCTGGCACGGCCAGCACCCGCTACCTACAGGGCCTGCCGCTCTCTCAGGAGGTTCGCCTTGCACTTCCCCGAGGCAGACACATGGCACCCAGGCACCTACACAGTGTGCTCCTGCGGCCCCATTGTTCTCAGCAGCGAACCCCGCGCACGCACAGCGCTTTCCAGAGCAGCGCAGAGCACTTTGCTGTTCATTGTGAGAAGCGACCCATGCACGAGGACATGGGAGTGACTTCCTGTGCACATAGCCCTCCTCTGAGGCTGAAATCAAAGCAGAGGAGAGATACAGAGCGCTGCCCCGGTCCACAGACCCTTCTCCACCCTTGGTCAAGTCGCCTGTGCGACCCAGGGAAGAGCCAGGGCTGCTCCAGGGAGAGAAACTGTCCCTCATGCCTGGAAAAGATGTATTCTGGTGCCAGTGACTAGAGCTTTCCCCTGAGGTCCTACAGGGCATAGAGGGGGCCCCAGCGGACAGGTTAGGGGACAGCTACTAGCTAATCAAGCTGGAGGATGTTGGAGACTCCGGTCTGCCTCCATTGCTCCAGAATACCCGAGGGACTCCACGAAACCTCATCCCCAGCCACACAAAACATTTACATAGACTCCCTCCCTCTTTCAGCTTTGGCAGCGCCCCTCCCAGCCCTGTCTGTAGGATCGGCCCCTTCGCTGTCTTTACTCAGGGGGAGGGCCCCTCCCTCCCCAGTTCCTCCCCGAAGGCTGGGCGGGGTGCTGGAGGCTGAAGCTGCCCCACCCCCACCCCAGTGAGGCGCTCACCCAACGCTTGCAGCTGCCGGGTGCGCAGCCTTTGGGCAGCAGCCCCTTCTCCAGACTCGATGACAGCCCAAGGGCGCTTCACGCATCTGTTGCTTCGCTGCAAGAAGAACCAGGTGTGGGAGCACAAAAAAAGACAGGTAAGTTTGAGGGCTCCCCTGGCCCCGAAGTCCCACTTCAGTCTTTCCTTGTGTAGGGTCTGTTGGCCCCACTTCTCTCTGGCTTCAGGTTAGAGTCCTAGCGCGCCTCCGGGCTCCGCGGGAACGCGCACAGCCTCTCCCACCTCCTGCCGCGTCTGCATTTGTTAAAGCCGTAGAGACCCTCCCCGAGAGGGGTTGGTCGCTAGAGGTGCCACACGTCCACTGCCCTAGGCTAGGCTCTTCCCAGCCCACCGCACCCCCAAAACCCACGGTCCCCTACGCACTCGCGGACACTGTCACTGCCCCTCATCAGACAGTTCCCCCCACATGCTCAGAAGCATTCGCACACGCACCGATGCGCTCCACACAATCGACCCTCACAGGTTGGAATTATCCATCATCTGAAATAATCGCGTCGATGTGTCGCGCTCCCGCTATGTTCACACGCATTTACACAAGCACACCTGTGCCGGCACACTCGCCCCGCGCGTTTCCTACCGCAATCCATTCATGCTCACTCACCCTTGCGCGCCCGTCCCGCCAGCTCCCGCGAGTTCGCTGCTAATTGAATGCGAGCCGCTTTTACACCCCGCAACACGTGAGACAAACCATCTTTGAGGAATTTAGGGACAGACAAGGCGCACAACGGAAGGGGGGCGTGTCTCTGCCTTGAAACACTTTTTGCAAATGCAGCCGGTGGCACAGAAAGACCTCCAGCGAACCGGAGGGACTGTGCGCAGCCTGGCTCGCGCGCACCGTTCCCTCCCGCACCCCCTGCTAGCCGCCTCCTCCCCGAAGCCACGTTCAACACTATGCATAATTGATAGTGTTAGCAGAGCGCCTCGCCCTCCCTGCCATTTTTGCCTGGATCTGAGCAGATACAAGCCCTGCTCCTCCCGCCCCCCCTGCCAGACGAAAACGCACACGCAGCCCTGTAGGGCGCTCCGGGAAGAGCCGCCCCTCTCCCCAGCCCACCACAGCCCTGCCCAGCGGAATTCTTTACGTCTGGTCTTTGTGGCAAAGTCGGTGCTTGCAGCCCACCGTCCACAGCGCTGCCGTAGGGTAGGGTGGGGCTCCCTGCCGCCCAAGCACCCCCACGGTCAGCCTGCCAGTTCCTGGCGAATGGGGCACTGAAGCTGCAGAGGACAGTGACAGGGACAGGGATGGTTACAAAACGTCTGCTCCTCTTGAACACTGTGGGCGGGGGTGTTTGTGTAAGATCTGAACATTCTCATCCCCCCCACACACACTCGCCAGTATCTTCACAGCCTCTGTAGTGCGCGCGCACACACACACACACACACACACACACACACACACACACTGTCCCCCAAGCTGGGGTGGCACGCCACCGCCCCACTGTCTCACACCCTCACACAACAGCTGGGCTCAGCAGACTCGGGACTTGCTGTTCCTGATTCTCCCTATCTGGCAAAACCCGGACACTTCATTTAGCGACAGGGAGGCGGAGACACAGGGATGGATGTCCAGGCATTTGGCTAAACCCCCTTTGGGCCTTGGTGCTGCCCACAGAGCCAGCAGAGCCTATGCTAGACAGAGCTGCTGGTCAGATTCAGAAAGGGGTTTGGGCTCCTGGAGAACCAGAGCCCCAGCCCCTCGTGCCTTTTGTAGACATCGGGATCTCGGGGCACCTGTGGCCCCCAGCCTGCACCCAGGCGGTCGAAGATCTCACTTGGCAGTTGATGGCTTATGGGTATGGGGCCTCTGCAGAGATCAATATCCCGATTTGAATGTTAAGCATTTTAATGAGCCCAGGAGGGAGTGGGGGAGAGGGACGGAGTGCAGCAAGCTGCATCTAAAAAGACCACCGGGCTGGCTGGGGTTCTGTGGCTCCTTTGTAAATGAAACATGAACAGACCAAGTGGGCACACTTGGAGTCCTTCACTCGGTCCTAATCCTTCAGTGGCGGCAAGAGACCTGGTGAGCTGGGACCAGCACACCTCAATCAGCCAAGTTCCGAACTCTGATCTTCACTAACCTGCTTAGGCCTGGATCCCCTCCCAAGCAACCTAAGTGGAGGCCTCTGGAGCAGCCTCAGAGAGAAGATGCTGTGGAGAAGGGCTGAGGGGTGAGAGTACAGGACCGTCCCAGCCTGGGGACCCTGCGGCAGTCCCTAATTTAGGTGTGAGACCTGAGGTTTGGGACCGGCTGGGTCAGGGTATGGGGCGAATGGCAGGCTGTGTGTGGACACCTTTGTCTGCAGTGTGTGTGTGGGGTCATCCTGGGTGGGTTGTCCTGTACTGGCAGTGTTGTGAGAGTGGGCCTGGGAGCCGTTCCCATCAGAGGGACCCAAGGGGGCAAGTGCCTGGCAGTGGAACCAGGACTTTCTGGGGCTCGGGATGGACACAAGGTGTGGGGACAGACAGGGAGGCTCCGGGCCAGGAACTCAGGGCTAGTGGGCTCTCTCCTGGTTTTTATCTCTATCTGGTTCTTTTTGCTTTCTGCAGGAGACCAGCGGGCCAAGGGACAACTTGGGAAGAGAGAGACGGGAAGACAGAGTCTGGGGGCTGGGTGGAGAATGGGCTCCCAGCTTTCAGCTCAAAGCTCCCCAAACCGAGGGGACCCTCCCCGCCAGCCTCCGGGAAGCCTCTCTGCGCCCCCTTTTCTCTTGTTCTGTTGCTAGGGATGCCGGAGCAGGGGATTCGGTGGAGGAGACAGCGCTGGGGGCGCAGGAGAGAGGTGGATAAGGGCGCGGTGGCCTCCTTGAGGATCCCCGAAGCCCTGGGCGGTGCACGCTGTCTCTGGCAGGTGCTTTTGTTCCCTGATCCTACCCCGGGGGGACAAACACCCCTTACCCCGCCTTTGACCTGCAGGACCTTGTGCCCATCGGGCGGGGCTGGACCCCAAGTCGCCCCAGTGAGAGCTGCTACCCCAGGTTCCACCTGCGAGCTGAGCTGGAAGGCAGTGCACACGCCCTTGCGCGGGAGCCGCTGGGCTGTGGCGGCGGGTGATGTTCGCAAGGATACAGTTACTGCAGGCGGGAACGAGGACCCCACCCCCGCCGCGGCTGCCCGAGCCTCCGATCGTTAAAGAAACAGGCATCTAATCAGCTGTGTGGACGCAGGGACGGGAAAAGCGTAAATCCTAAATTCCAAGGCGTGAGAGCACAGTGCCACAGATTCAGAAGGTGACGAACCCGGCTTAAGCTTTCTCCAGGCTTGGGGGTCATAAACCCAGACGGACCCGGGGCCGATAGCCTGAGCCCAGGGCCGCTCCTCGAGGACTGACTTCTGACTTCAACCTTACGGACGGACGCATACCGCCGGGAGGGTGCGAAGAGTTGAAATCTACGGGATGGGACTTGCTATGTCCTGGGTTCCGAGCATGCGCAGGTCTCTGGCCCGGCCCTGGTCCGCGCGCGCCCCCTGCTGGAAGCCGCCTTCTGAACCAAGGGGCGGGTGGAGACCAGGCGAGGCTTTCTCCCTTTCTGCCCGCGCTCCAGTGGTGCACGCGCTTCAGTGGGGCACGCTCTCCGTGCCCCCTCAGCCTGCAATCCAGGATATGCAACCTCCCCTCCGCTCCTATCACAGGGATGCAGTTTCAGGTGCGTGATATTCCTAGCTCGGAGCGCTCACGAGTGCCCCCTGAAGGCTCCTTGGGAAAAAGCTCTCTATGACCACACTGTCATGATTAGGACAGGTTCTAGGATCAGTCTCCATCGTGTGTACAGCTGTGCAACCCGGGCCAACTTACTCAACCTCTCTGTGCATTAAGAAAAAAGAGCATAAATTAGAGAGCCTGCGTTCGGGGTCCTTGTGAGGATTCAGTCAGTCAAAGTATGCAAGACACTTAACATGTGGCACTTCCTGCTCAGGAAAGGACTTTTTTTTTTTTTTTTTTTGCAACAACTGCTGAATAGAATTTGCTGGTATTATTACCTTGCAGAATCGGGGGTAGGCATAAGGTGGTGTGCAGGTTTCACACGGCTTCATGCTTCTGTCTTGCCTCCTCCAAAGCAAGGACCTTGGCTCTGGCTCCAGACATCTGTCTTCACCACCTGCTACACACAGACACCACTGAGAGGCAGCGGCCAGAATTATTATTAATAAATAATAATAGTTGCCAGGCATGATGGCACACACCTGTGATCCCAGCACTCAGGAGGCTGAGGCAGAAGGATCTCTGTGAGTTTGAGGACAGCCTGGGCTCCACAGTGAGTTTAAGGCCAGCCTGTAACATAGTGAGACCCTGTCTCAAAACAAAAATAAAACAATAATAAGAGTTAATAATAATTACCGTTATTGTTTGTAATGGTTTCTAATTTCAGATACTTAAACTTGTCACCCAAATGCCTGCCTGGGAAGAGGACCTGCAGCTGCAAGCTTGGTGGAAGGTTTTTAATTAAAACCACATTCTGTTTAAGTATTTATTGGGCTCTGCGAGTTTAATTATTTCCTAGAGAAAAACAAAACAAAAGCTCCACCTCTGCCTCTGAGACGGATGACTGTTGATTTCCGAGGGAAGCAGCGACTTGTGGCTGGTTGCTGGAGGTAACCAGGAGGAATCTCCTGAATGGTCCTAATGCAGCGAGACATTAATGACCCTGGACACAGCCTGAGAGCTTTCTCCCAGTGCTTCTGTGAAATTAGCTCAACGTGCTGGCAAGGCCATTTATTGCCATCAGAATTAACCACAGCTCTTCCAGTGGCAGCTCGAATAATGGTGTGATCTGTGCTCGTCTCTTGGAAGCTGGGGCACCGGCTGGGAAGACAGAGAGCTCCTGTGTGCAAGGCAAGCACACTCACAGGTGTACCCCTGTCTACCCAGGCTGGGGGTCCCAGCGGAGAGGTCCTGAGGCTGCCAGCCCCGACCTGGCAGGACTTAGCATGGTAAAGAGTTGGGACAGAGCGGTGTGGGAGGATGGGGGCATGCTGCTTCCACCTACAAATAGCAAAACCCCACTCAAAGAGCAGAGAGTAGTAAGCTAGTGAGTGAGCACCTTAGCCGCAGGGTTCTGCCAGCCTGAATTCAGAGCTGGGGGATTCAATGGCTCAGCGACAACAGCAATCGCAGATGCATTGTTTTTCCTCTTTTTTTTTTTTTTTAAGTACTGAAGATTGAACCCAGCACTTTCTCACTGAGCTACATCCCCAGCCTTTTTTTTTTTTTTTTTGAGAGAGGGTCTCGCTATGCAGTTCAGGCTGGCCTTGAGCTCACTTTGTAGTCCAGGCTGGTCTCCAACTCACAACGATGCTCCTGCCTCAGCCTCCCAAGTGCTGAGATTACAGGTGTGTGCAACCACGCCTGGTTTTTTCCCCAGCCTTTTTTTAAATGATTTTTTTTTTTTTTGAGACAAGTACTCACTAAATTGCTGAATTGCTCAGGCTGGACTGGAACTTGTGATCCTCCTGCCTCAACTTCCCAGGTTACGAGTGGGTACCATCAACAGGCTACTGCAAGAAAGAAACAGATTTTCTTTCCTGACACCATAACCTCTCCTGGGCCCTTATTGACACTGGTTTAGGATACCGCATCTCTGAACCAATCACTGGCTAAGGGGGAGGAATCAATTGGCTTAGAATAACCTAGTCCTGAAATGGATATTGAAATTCCATCCCAAGATTCCCTACAAACAGGATCCCTTTCAGACAGCAGGGCTGGAGAATGCATGCTCAGAGCATCCCAGTATTGTGTCAAAATGAATTAAATCCAGGCACGGTGGTGCAAGCTTGTCATCCCAGCTGAGGCAGGGAAACTGCCATGAATTTGAAGTCAGCCTGCGCTACATAGTTCAAGGCCAGCCTGGATTACATAGCGAGACCCCGTCTCAAAAACACAAAACAAAACAACAACAACAAAAGATACACATTGCAGTGAGAGTGAGCATGACCGGAACCGGACGCTCTACTTTGTAGGGTAGAAATGAGACCAGGCAGGCACAGGCTGGGGCTGGGGCCAGGGCGGTGTTCAGGGAACTCTTCCTGCTGGCACACACCCCAGAGGATCCTCTGCTTTCATAGAATTCTTGAAAGGACTCCAGTCTGTTCTTGGAGATGCCTGGGCTGGGATGCAACGCTATTTTGGGAGCGGTAGAAGCTGCAGTCGTTATTTGGGTATTTAAAAGCAGGATGTGTCTGTGAGCTCAAAGCTGTTCCTGCGTGATGTGACTTCCCATCCTGAGTGGTTCCGTGGCAGCGAAGGGAGGTGCAGTGCTTCCAGCTGCAGTGGGTAGGAAGCTAGCTACCTTGGTCTCACTTAGGAGGTGGAGGCAATGAGAACTGAGACCATACAGGCTTGGAGCTTGTGGCAGCTGTGACCTAAAATGTCCCCCAAAGACCCACTGGGTTGAAGGCTTGCTTGCCAGCGATGGGCTTTTGAAGTGACCGGACCAAGAGGTTTCTAACTTCATCAGCAGACTTTTTTTTTTAATACTGGGGATTGAACCCGTGGCCTTTGCACTGAACTCCATCCCCAGCCCTCTTTCATCTTTTATTTTGAGTCAGGGTCTCACTAAGTCATGAAGTTGCCTGTGTTAGTCTTGAATTTGGGATCCTCCTGCCTCAGCCTCCTTGAGTGCCCCCCCCACCTGGCTGGATTAATCCATTGGTAGATTTATAATTTGATGGCATGCTGGGAAAATGATAAAATAGGAGGTGGGGCCTGGTTGAATGGATTGGTTCATGAGGGTGCTGTCTTAAAGACTGTCTTGTCCCTGGCCCCTTTCTCTCTGGTTTCTACTCCATCTCTGTACTCCCTGCCCCCATGAAGTGAACACTTTGCCCCCCATGCCCTTCCACCATGACATTGCTCCTTGATCTTGGGCCCGCACCAATGGGACCAGCCAAGCATGGACTGGCACCTCTGAAATCATGGGCCTAAGTACACCCTTCCTCCCTTAAGCTGCCCTTGTCAGGTGTTTTGTCCAGCAACAGAGCTCCAGGCCTTAAGCCAGCTTCCTTCCCCTGAGGGCTCCTAGGCCTCCCCTCCCTGCTCCCTGGGGTCTCCACTTGCCATGCCAGTGAGGCAGGAAGTAGCTGCGGACACAGCTGAGAAAACAGGAGTGTCCACCTACCTTGGAACCACTTTCTGGGCTAGATCCACCTTCTGAGTCAAACCTTAGCCCAGAACCAATGGGAACAGGTACCCAGGTAACTGAGCTTATGCACAATGAGCTCCCACACATGTGCCCAGTGGTCTTCTGCAACCCTTGGTTACCCCAACCTAATTACCATGTCATTGACTATGCAGATTTGATCCCGCCTCCCCACACCAGGGGCTTTGGCTGCCCAGATGGTTCCTCCAAGGGCCATAAAAGGCCAAAAACTGCACAACCCAACAGAGAAACTGAGTCAAGCCTATCACTGGCAGGAGTCAAACCTCATACCAACCCCTCAGCCCCACCCCAAACTTAAGGATTAAAACTCTCAGCGCCAACCCCTCTTGGTCTGTGAGTTCTCCTCACTGGCTGCTCCCACCCTGTGGAGTGATCTTGTCTTTTCTCTTTCAAATAAATTATTGGTCCTGGCATAGCAGTGCAGGCCTGTAAGCCCAACAGTATGGGAGGCTGAGGCAGAAGGATCTCAAATAAATCATTGATCCTGTGATAACTTTTGGGTATCCTGCTCAATTCTTTGTTTAGGACATCAAGGACCTGGATAGGACCCCAACATGGTAACACTAGGAAAATGGACTAGAGGTAACCAAGTCCCTGCCAATGCCGTCCCCTCCAGACCCTGGTTCCTGGGTGCTGTGGCTTTAGGGTAGGTGGGCTTTGAGGGCCATCTGGGGCCACTGGTCCCCTCCAGGTGCCCTTGGCTGTGCCCATCCCCCTCCTGTCATGCTGTACCTCACTTCATCTCCTGAGGTTGCCTATATCCTTGGGTCCTAGGAGCTAATTCACTCTGGAATGGCTTTATGCTGCTCTGGGGATGGAGAGGCTTCCTGCCTCCAAACATCCCAAGCTCTTCCCACAGGAGGACTGAAATTTGGTCACTGAGTCACTCAGACACTTGGGAAAGTGAGTGAGGAAGGATGCTGTGGCTCCCTCCCACCCTTCCTCCCTCCGTTCTCCATTGCCTGGTGCATCAGATGACCTGGAGAGGGACCCAAAGAGATTCCTGCACCCAGTAGATCCCTAGAGCGGGGTCTGTCAGCCTCCTGCTTCTCCTCCATCCCCTGGCTTCAAAGCTCCTGGAGAGCCAAGCACAGTGGTGCACACCTGTAATCCCAGCACTCTGGGAGGCCGAGGCAAGAGGATTTTATGTTCAAACCCAGCCCGGTCAACCTAGGAACTTAGCAAGGCCTTGTATCAAAATTTAAAAGCCGGTTGGGACATGGGTTTGCAGAAGCTGAGCTGAAGCCAGGTTTTGCATGCAAGTGGTGGATTAAGGAAATACCCAGGCAGACACCAGTAAGGCAAAGAAGAAGAAGCGGGAGGGAGGGAAGGAGTGAGGCAAGGGTGTGATTCAGGGCAGAGTCCCAGGGAGCTCTGGGGCTAAAGTGACCCCTGGGAGTTCCTGGGGCCCCCAGGCACTGCCCCCTCTCTCTGTGCTCTTGGGCAGTCAGCTCTGGTAGCCTGCAAAGGCTGTGAGGCCAGCACCTCCTTAGAGGAGGGATGGACAAGGAGCTGTGATGACACCTAGGAGGTCCCAGAGTCACTGAGCGTCACTGGTACCCCGGGCTGGAGGTCCCCATCCCTCTGCTTTCACCTCATTGGAGGGAAGATGGGGCGGCAAAATGCCCCCGGCACAGAGCTTTTCTGTGACACTTTCCTTCCAGGGGCAGTCCAGAATGGGATGTGACCCGCTTGGAAGCTCACTGGTCTGAGGCCCTTGAGACTCGGGCAGATGAGGCCTCTCCAGTGGACACAGGCAGGTATCCCCACTTTGGGTGCCCTGTACCCCCTCATAGGCTCACAGGCACAGAAAGAGAGCCCCATCCATGTCTGGCAGAGACAGATTACACCCCTGCATTAGAATATCTAGATCAGGATGCAGACCCCAAATCAGGCAGCAAGCCGGGCTGAGATCTGCAGTTAGGAGAGCCCTCCCTGCGGGGTGGGGGAGCTCAGCAGGTTGTAGAGGCACCGACAGTTCCATGGCCAGGCAAAGGTTTTTCTAATGGCCTCAGTTTGAGGACAACCAGGCACGATTCACTGTAAAATGTTTGGGAACAGGTCAGAGGTTGAGGGCTGAACCTATATTTCCATGGACTTTGGAAAAATCTTTCCCATCTGAGCCACAGTTTTCCCTCTTGATCTGTAGCCTAAATGTCCCTCCTGCGTGCCTGCCTCATCTCGGACTTGGGCCTGTTGTATTCTCACTCCTTGGGCCCAACTTACTGAATGTAGACAGCATGGGACCCCTCAGCACAGAGGCCCCAGGAGACTAGCATGGGCCCTTTGATGTCCTCTTTGAAGCGTCCTGTGCAGGCTTCTCTGGGAACCAGCATCTGTGACTGCTTCTGCCTCATCTCCCGGTGTCCTCATCTCCCTGCGCCTTATCTCCAGGCCCAGCTGGGAACTCGATGTGTTTATTTGTTCCTCCAGGGGCCCTCGCTCCAACCCACAAGTCTGCCCTGCTGTGAGACGGTGACCTTCGTGCAGAGGGCTGGCTGGTGGCCGGGTGGGGGGCGAGGAGGAGGGGACAGCTATAAATCCCTCAAGCCTGCAACCGAGGGGTGACCCTGTCTGGTGGAGGATGAAGCTGAGAGGTTTGGAGAGGTGGGGACAGAGTCACCTATATCTTAAATAGACTGGAATCCGGAGAGCAGAGGGAGGGAAGCAGAAGGATGTGGGGAGGAGGAGGAGGCAGAAGGAGTGGCAGGAAGGGGTGGAGACACAGAGCGGTCTCTCTTCTAGGGTGTTAGATGTTGAGTTACTATTTTTATTGCATGGCTGATCTGCTAAGTTTAGAACTTTACATATGTGATTGAGTTTAATCCTCTCCATTTGTGAGTGTTATCACCCCAATTTGCATATGAGATCACAGAGCCTAAGTAGTTTGTCCAGGTCACACAGCAGAGCTGGGATTCAAACCCAGGTCCTCCGAAGTCCAGGTTCTCACTACACACGCACCCCTAAAGGGTGCCACTGTGGGCCCAGCCTCACCCCCTCCCTCGGCTTCTTGGCCAATGATTGACCCAGTTTGGCCTAGCCTGGGGTGAGCCCCTCGACTTCCGGCTGTACCCCAAGCCCTCCGCACCAGTCTGTGCTCTGACCACAGAGCCCCACAATCAGACAAGCGAGAGCGACTCCGGATGTCGGGATTAGCTGGCTAGCATTTGTATTCTGCTGAGCTATCAAGTTTGGGATATTTATGATCTTTATTAGCTGACTTTAGCATATTCCAGGCAGCTGGTCTCTGGGAGAATTCCTTGGAGCTGAGTTTAACAAGTTCCTGGAGCCAAGCACAAAGACCTTTTTCCTTTTCTTGATGGCAAATGCATGTTGGAGGAGTGGCTCGAGTCGTTCAAACTTCCTGCTGTTGTTTACTTAATTTATTTGTTTATTTTTGAGGGTGGGGGGCAGTCCGTGGAAACACTTGATCCTTCTCTCGACAGACCCCATCTGCTATATTCAGGTCCTGTGGGTCTAGAGCTGCACTTGGATTTGAGATGAAAACAAAGGATGGCTCCGTTGCTAGCCCAGGCTCAGCCAGGCCCCCCACACCTGTCTGGGTACGAAGAAAGGTTTCTGGGTTCAGATGCTGTTATCTTGCACCTAGAAAAGCCTAAGAAATCTGCAGAGTATCTCTGGTACTAAAATTTCACTGGGTGGAAACTTCTAATATGGGACAGCATCTAAAAACGCTTCTGAGGGGAGAAATAAAAAAGTTTGAGAAGCACTGTCCTAGAAGAAAACCTTAGAAATAGGATACATTTCAAGGAGGAGGACTGGAAGGTTGGGGCAGCTTTGGAGGATCCACCTTTCCTATCATTGGGGGCAAGAGCGTATAGGAAGGAGAAACCAGGAAACCCTTGCTCTCCCCAGGGCCAGGCAGCCCATGTCACCCCCTATAGATGGTGCCAGTGTAGACACAGACTCCTGGCCTCCCAGTGGGCAAACCCCAACTCTGAAGAGCTAGAGGGAGGGGCCAGGAAGGGAACATTAAAATTAGATGTGCTATGTATGTGCACCAACTCTTCCTGTATCCTGCAACCATAAACCAATAAAAATAAAATTAAAATGGACTGATATATGGAAGTGCACATACCAACTCCGCCAAGTAAATCCATCATGGTATTAACATAAACTAATAAGATAGATTAAAATAATTAAAACTGCCATTTTTTGGACATTCTTTTTTTTTGGTTTGTTTTTTTTTCAGGTACCGAGAATTGAACTCATGACCTTGCACTTGCCAGGCAGGCGCTGTGCCACTGAGCTAAATCCCCAGCCCCTAAAATTACCATTTTTAAGTAAAAATTTGAAACATGAAAAGCAATTCCAACCCTGCCATCCGCAAGCGTACCAACCTTGGATGGGATCCCTGGCCTTGCTGCCTGCGTGTCTCAAGGGGACAGGAACCAGCACGTGATTGCACACAGCGGCTGGGAGGATAAAATGAGATGGCAAATGCCAGGTGATGACACAGCGTCTGGTGCGTTGTTTTCTCCCCATTGTGCCAGCTGGGCTTTGTTCATCTGCTGCCCCAGGGCTCTCTCTCTGGGTGAGGGTGCCCATCTCTGATGGTCAACCCCCAAATGTGACCCTCATCTGGATCCAACACCACAAGCTGCCCTTGGGCCCTCACCTGGACTTTGTGGTCCTCACTCTACTCCTTGCCCCGGGGCTAACTTGGGCCCTAACCCGAGTACTGCCTCTCTCTATGGCCCTCTGCCCCATCCCCCAGCGCCTTCATTTCCCAGACCTACCCCACTCACTCCACGGTGACAATTTTTTTGCAGTACCTGGCCCCTTGCTGAGCATGTTGCTACTTAGGATTTGTCCTCAGTTAGCTTTAAAAAATCCCGAGTGTAGCCTGGTGTGGTGGTGCCTACTGTAATCACAGGATTGAGGGAGGCCACGGCAGGAGGATTGCATGTTTGAGATTCTCCTGTGCAACTTATGGAGACCCTGTCTCAAAATGAAAAACAAAAAGGGCCGGGGATGTAGTACAGCGGTAGAGAGGCCCTCGTTTGCATCTCCTGTACCAAAAAAGAAAAAAGAATCCCACCTAAGCATCATTCTGAGCAACTCCAAAACCAAGTTTTGATGGTTGGTTACACGGTTTCAAATAGATGTTAAAATAAATACAAAAAGCGCAACATTTAGAAACTGTTCTTCATCGGCACTTCTCGTTCTCTCCCATACCTTGGGAGGCCCACAAAGTACTGCAGAAAGAGCTGATTTCCCCAGCAGCCATCACCCCGTTCACTTGACCCGCCCAGCCTCAGCCAGGCTGATGGGCTGCGGCGCCCCCTGCTGTCCATGTCTGGGAACGGCCCTAGCTCGGCTCCCCGCCACCCGACAGGGTGAGTCTAGGATGCTGATATGGGATGGGAGGAGGAAGGGTGCAGGGAGAGAGGGCAGCACGTGCCCCGCCCCTCTTACCGACACTAGGGCAGCAGCTGGGTATCCTGGAGGTGGAAGGAAGAGCAACGCTGGGGCTGGAGTTCAAGCAGGTTTTGTGACCTTCACAGAGATGTGAGTGGCCCCAGAGTGGGTGCTGTCTGCTGCAGAGGCTGGCCTCCGCTCCAGGTTTGTTTCCTCTGGTGTGTTGGGAACACAGAACCACGCACTGCTCTGCCACTCCACCCTGGGTCCCTGCTCTCCTCGGCCCCTGTTGACCCCAGGACCCCCCAGCTATCTCCTCTGTCCCAAACCCAAGCTTTATTCCCTGGAAGCCAAGTCCATGACTTCCTCCCCCTCTTTTCCTGAGATAAAGCCTTGCTCTGCTATCCTAAAGCTCACAACCCTCCTGCCCCAGCCTCCTGTCTTTTCTTTTTTTTGCTAAGATCTTTTTTTTTATCATTTATAACCTTATCAGATTGCCATCTTAGTTGTCTGTGAAAGATCTTATATTTGTGTGGTTTTGCACATATTAAAAAGCTATTTTCACAAACACATTTTCTGATTGATTCATACAAAGATCTTGTGAAAGACAAATGGCCCACATTGACCCATTTTACAGAAGGAGAGCTAGAGGACCAGGAAGCTAAATGTGCCAGACCACAGCCACAGGCTGTGAAGGCTGAACTCCAGTGCTTGTGTGCGAGGAGTGCTTGGGGTGGCCATGCGAGCTCCGTCTGTGACATCTACACATTGTGCATGCCCTGGGCCTCCCCCTCTGCCGCAGGTTACTCTTAAGGCCCAGCAGAAGGATAGGGCTGTCCAGCAGGGGCCAGTGGCCAAGCTCCCAAACACCCCAGTCTCCAGCTCCTTCTTACTCCCTCTGAGGGGACTCGTGAAGCTGGTATCTCTTTCCTCCCCTGTAGCTTTCCCCTTTGGAGATGGCCCCAGTCCAAGTCCACCCTAGGACTCCCTACTTGAAATTCTGGAGGCATCTTTATTAAAGGCTGTGACAGTGTGGACAACACCAGAGTGCCCCTTTATTATAAAATCTGTGACCAACAGTGTCTCAAAATAGCCAGCGAGGAAGTAGTCAAGGCCGAGGGCAAGAGATGAGGAGGGGCCCTGTGCTGCTCTGCCAGCTGCCAAGGAGGCAGGCCCGGCCACGGTGGGTCCTGGCTTCCCGTTCTCTCTCCCCTCCCTCCACTGCCTGCTCAGAGCCAGAGCTGTAACAGGCATTTCTTTTCAACACGCTGGAGTTTGCTGTGGGCCCAAAGCAGAGTCAAGCTGGGGGGCAAATCCTGTAGGGTGTGTATATGGATCTGGGGGCGCCCACTGGACAGGGTGGGCTGTGGATACTCAACCTTTACCTGTGAAAGTGAAGGCCACCCACCATCAAGGTGGGCACCTGGGCTCTCTGGCAGCATGGGGAGGAATGGGAAGAGAAAGAAGTTGGGGAAGGGACAGCCTTGAGCACCCCGGTTCTGCTGCTGACCTCCGGAGTGACCACAGGCTGAGGCCTACAGGTTTGGAATAGGAGCTAAATTCAGGATGAGAACTTCTTTTTATTTTGGAGACAAGATCTTCCTATGTAGTTCCCTTGACCTCACTATGCAGCCCAGATTGGCCTTGAAGTCATGGCGATCTTCTTGCCTCAGCCTTCTGAGAGCTGGGATTACAGGCATGTGCCTCCTTACCTGGCTTTGGATGAGAACATTTTTCATCTAGTGACTCAGAGGCCTGCTGCCCATGTCTAAAAGCCTGGCATGGCAGAGCTGGGTGGGGGAGCTCTGCAGCCACAGGCCAATCGGCCCCTTTCACAGATGAGGGGACACTGGTGCTCCGGAACGGGAAGGAACAGGGCGAAATCTTTCTTTGCTGCTCCACGCTGCTTCTCCTAGGCTCTCAGACCTAAGTGGGCATCAAGTTGCCTGGAGAAGCTCAGACTCCTGGCCTGCCAGCAGAGGCCCTGCCCTAGGGGCCTGAGGCAGAGCTCGTGGATCTGAGGGTGCCAATGCTGCAGGCCATCTGTGGGGACATTGCGTGGGAGGCTGCGGGCAGGGGTGGTGCTGTGAGGGGTCTGTACGCCGAGGACCGCAGAGTGAAGCCATGGGACGGAAAAGGCATTTCAGTGCAGGCAGGGACAGGGATGGTGCACAGTTTCTGATGCTTTCTGCACCCCAAGGCCCCTTTTGGGTGAATATGCTCCATAAAGGACAAAAACAGAGTGGAAAAAGAGGCAGGGGCTGGCAGAACCCACACTTGTAGGGGGGCAGTTTGGTGTGAAAGGCACTTTGAGTACCCAGGGGTACCCTAACGTGGGCTCTAGGGAGGAACTACAGGGCCTCAGAGACCTGAGGTCACCCTGTCTTCACTCAGGGCCTCCCTGGTTCAGGTTCCTCAATGGGGCACTTGGGTGCCCCTGGGGGTGGGTGCCTGACTGCCTCTGCAGAGTTTTCAGCAAAGGGGAATTTGGTCCCAGAGAAAGGGAAGTGATTTTGGGCCAAAGGATTACAGAGTGCTGGGAGACAGGCCCTGGGAACGCTGGGTAGGCAGGGCCTGGCTCAGGGATCCCTCAGCTTGGGGCCAGAGAGACTGGGAGAGACGCCTTCCACCCAGGCCTAGGCCGGCTCCTTCAGCAGGCCGTCCAGGTAGGTCCTCAGGGCTTGCAGGTGGTGTGAGGGCTGTGCAGGGGGTGAGGTGCTCTGTGGGCTGAGGTAGTGGCCGTACTTCTTCAGGCCACGCTGGGGGTCACATCGGTGCGCAGTGAGCAGCTCCTGGAAGCTCACGCTGTGCAGGGCCAGGAGCCGGGCCTCTGCCCGGGACAAAACAGCTGCCTGCACCAGGGGCTGCAGAGAAGAGAAGCACTGAAGGCTGCTGAAGGAATAGACATGCTGGGCCAGCTGGGGGCCGGGCGAGACCTCAAGCAGGCGGTACAGGTCGCGCATGGCCAGCACGGTGGCCAGGGCGCTGCGCTTGCTCATGTTCCTCGCTAGGTAGGTCTTGGCCAGGTTCTTGAGTTTGAAGCTCCTAGCCCCGGGCACCTGCTCCCGGATGAGGGGTAGCACAGCCAGGAAGCCTGAGATGGTCTCCTGGAACTCCCAGAGCCTATTGATGTCCTCCAGGGCCCTAAAGAAGTTAGGGATGCCAGGCCCCCACAGGTTATAGCAAACCAAGATGGGACAGTGCATGGACCTTAGGAAGCTGAGAAAGTGCCGCAGCCCTGCCTCTAGGGAGACGGCCTTGGTGTAGATGCTGTTGAAGGCCTCTGGCTGGATGAGCACACGGAACTTGCTTTCCCGGTTCACGGCTGCCAGCTGGCTAATCTTCTGAGCTGGGCAGGAGAGAAGGGCATGGTGAGGCCTGGGGGCACCAGCGATGCTGTGGAGGGGGCATCTGACCCACCACCCCCTAGAAATCTTGCCCTTGGGATACTGCCAGAACCAGGCCGCAGCCTCCAAATGCAGCTCTGACCCAACTCCAAGGCTGGAGTTACAAGGGGAGGCCAGATTGACCTTCACACACCTCACCACCAGCTGGGTGTCCAGCTGTTCTCCACCCCACCAAGCCCAGAGTTTGCCAAACCCATAGGAGCAAAGTCACTCCTATCCGTCTTCTGTCTCGGCTGTCACCTATACCAGAGACCAGAGACTGCTTCGTAGCCCCATCCCTTAGCTAAGGCTTCTGGCCCACTCAGTACCCTGCGCTACATGAATACCCGCTGCTTCTGTCTGGTAGGGCTCACCCCAATGTCAAGTCCACACTGAAGGCCAAGGCCAGGGTTCCTGCTCCAGGGGGACATTGCAGGCCCAGGGCAAATGCCAGGGGCAGGGGGCAAGGGGTCATCTCTCCTATGGCCCTGGCTCTGTCAGCTTCCTGTGCACCCTCTTGCAGGTCAGTCCTGTACTCAGGGCCACAGCCTTGTTGGGATGACCAGTCTTGGCAAGGAGTTTGCCACTGTTTCTGGTCACAGCACATCCCCTGGGCTCCGTCCAAGAGGAGATCTGGTGCGAGGTGAATGCACAGGGTGCCTGCCTCCCTCCAACAACCAGGCCCTGCCCTCGGCTGGAGCCATGCACCTGGGAGCCCAGGGCAGCAGAGGTGGGCTGCCCACCTAGCTGTCACCACCAGGGGTCAGGGCTGGCACAGGCCTTGCGGACAGCTCTGCCTGAGCTTCTCTTGGGAACTCAGAGACTAAGCTAGAAGGGGATAGGGCGGCCCCAGGAGAACCCACTTTCATTGTCGATCTTGAGGTTAAAGAACACCAGGGGCCTGTCTTCTGCCTGAGGGTCGGTGAGGCTCTGGTTCAGGACAGGGAGGGAGCTGGGCCCCTCCAGCTGGAGGTCACTGGACTCACTGCTGCTGTCATCCAGCTCCTGGAAGGACTGCAACACAGAAAAGCCAACAGGTCAGGGTAGCCTGGGACTGTGGGAGGAGACGGTAGGGTGAGTATGAGCCAGCAGTTTGTGTGTGTGAGTGTATGAACAAGCCAGCACAACCGGGGGCATCTGTGTGCACTTGGGGAGGGGGGATTACAGAGAAATAGGTGCATGACAATGTGTGTGAGGAACAGCTGTGAACGGTGTGGCTCGTGTGTAAGGATTGTGTGTGTGAGGTGAGGCACGTGTCTACGGGAGTAGGCGTGAGGGGTGAGGTCACAGGGAAGTGTGAGTGTGTGTGGATCTGCACAGGTGGCAGTGAATGTGAGCACCAAGCACACTGGTGCACAAGTGTGTGAGAGTGTGACGATGTGAGTGAGTGTGCATGGACAAGCTATGCCATTTGTGCAGATTCAGGGCAGGGGCTGGTCACTCTGAGCACACTTTGCAGAAATGTCGAAAACTTGGGATGGAAGGAAGCAGGCCCAGACGACGTTTCTTTCTAAAAGGAGCCAGGGATTTGGCTTTGCCTATTCCCAAAGCTAGCTGAGGTCCCAGTGCCCTGCAAAAAGGGAGACAGCTCAGCCTCTTGGATGCCACCTGTGCCTGGCAGGGAGAGGGCAGTAGGGGAGCTCAGAGTTCATCGCCCATGCCCAGTTGCAGGGTAGCTAAGCACTTTGGGCCAGGCTTGGCACCCGGAACCTGGAACTCCAGCACCAGTGCTGGTCCTGGCTGTGGTGCTGTGAGAGACCCTGGGTGGGGAGCTGAGCTGGAGACTCGCTTTGAGAGATCCCCAGGAGCCAGGGCTATGCAATGGATGGAGCATCTGACACAGAGTCAATTGCCGATCATCTGCACAACCACCAAGCCCAGGTGTTCAACCTTTAGCAAACCTCCTGTGAATGCCACCTGTGGACCAGGAGGAAGGGACACAGCCAGTGTCTTGGGGACAGAGCTCAGTGCCTCTGTTTCCTCTGGCCTCTGGCTGATACCCTGACCTAGGAGACAATCCACATACCCCCCAGGCCATCCACTATGGGGGTGAAACATGTTTTCCATAAACCTTCAGCCAAGAGGAAGTCACCACAGCCCATGAACAGGTAAAAATGGGTGGATTTTCTTCTGTGTGCATTTCGGGGCCTGTGCCAGGCTCACCAACTTCCTCCAGGTAATTGATAGAATCAGACATCAAGGACAGATCTGTCTAGGGCTGGGTTTGCTGAATACACCTGCACCTCCGCATCAGTGACTCCACCACACCTTCCGGGCTGATTTTCCATCTTATTCTGAGCATCTCCTTCCCATACAGCCTCCCTCCAGGCATCTTCCTAGTTGCTGACTGCGGAATCTTGGCCTCCGACCTCTTCCTTCGAGCGACACGAGTTGTCTTCCATCTCTAGCCTTCTGGGTGCTCCCACACTTGAGCCATGGAAGGGGCTGGGTTGCCTGCTGGGTCCTCCCTGGCCCCAGCTCCCTCTTGCCAATAACTGGGCCCCCTCTCCCTGGGCCACAACTCCATCTCGCTGCCCACTAACATGGCACTCTGGGTTTTCTCTTCTGCCTTCTTTCCTTCCAAACGTAACTGCTGAAAGCACCTTTGCAGCTCTTATTGCTTCCTCCTGGCTTTTTCCATCTGGCAGCGTGCCTGCAGGCCCCAGAGCCATCTTGCCAGCCTTACACCTGCATTTCCAAGGGCAAGGCTCCCCAGAGGGCAACACAGCTGCACCTGTGGGCCACTGTCCTAATCCCTTTCTCCCTGCTGAGACACAATACCCAACACCCGTGACTGAAAGGAGGAGAGATTTATTTTGGCTCACAGTTTGTAGAGGTTTTATCCACAGCTGGCCGACCCCAAGGCAGGGCGGCACGGCGCAGGGACATGGCACAGGAGAGCTGGGGAGCGACAGAAATCCTTCAAGGCCACAACCCCAGTGATCCGCATCTTCCAATCAGACCCCATCTCCGAACAGCAAGTCAATTCTCAACTTATCAGTGAACTGATCCACCTATGATTATCACAAATCCATGACCCGAGTGCATGAGGTTGGGGGGGTGGTCCAGATATAAACCACGAGAGCCACCTCCCCCATCTTCACCCCAGGTCACAAATATGACAGCCATCAGAGCCTCGATTTTAGCGCCTCCCATTGTCCTGGTCCTATGGGAATGAGGCTTCCTTCCCTCAGGGCACCTTGGGGTCTCCTCATGGACAGGGACATCTCTTTCCTGAACTTTCCTGAGGAGAAAGGGTGGGATCTCACAGCCTGACACCTCTTCATCCACCGGCCCTCTTGCCTTTGGGGACTGGTCACCCCCTGTGGCTAGGGATGGTCACCCCCTGTGGCTAGATCACCAAACACCTGGCATTTAATCTAGACAGCTGTGAACTCACAATTCCCTCTCCCCTTGAATTCTAGCAACACAGTCAGGGAATCTCAGGACACCAAAGTAAGACTTTTCTAAAAGCCCAAAGCTACCAGGAGGAAGAGTAGTGGGTACCCAGCAGGCTAGGCCTTGGCACCTTGCCCTCCCTGCCCTCTGAGGGGACTCCTGGCCCACCTTAGCCCCAGCTTTATGCGATGAATGAGAATGGCTGGATGGGGGGTGGGGGGGTGGAGCCCAGAAGAGGACAATTTGAGGACAAGGCTAAGAGATGGGATCAGAGGGACAGGGAAGGGGAAGAAGGCCATAGGTGCAGAAAGATGGAGGCCAGTGGGTGAGGAAAGGAAAGGAAACAGTAAGAAAAGATCTGAGAAACACTGAGAACTCAGCACGGGGGGCTTCGAATTGAAAAAGTGCTGGTGTGGGTTTGGAGCTGGGTGCTCTTTGATAGTCTCTGAAAGAGGCAACTAAACACTAGGATGGTCGTTAGACTGGGTCCCTGGGCTGTGCTTCTCTGCATGCAAACCGACAGAGTTGCGTGGGATCTAGGAGGTGTGTGACTACGAACGCACATTCCACTAGGTTGACCAGCTGTGTCCACCTCACTCATTTCCACCACAGACCCCATGGTCCAAACCAGTCAACTGTGGCCCAGCTCATCATAGCAGGTCCGACAGTGGCCTCAGGCATGCACACAGAAAGTGCTAGCTAGCAGTGGAGCCAGCTTCCCAAAGCCTAGGAGGTTCACCTGGGTGTCCAGGCTCTCTTGTCCCATGCCATATCATACCCTATAGGTAACATCACCTCCATTTAAGCCTCATGCACATAACTGGGAGTTAGTAGCACTAAAAAATTCTGGAAGCCGAGACTGTATCACAGACCAACTGAACCACAATCTCCCGGTGTGGGACCCAGGAATGCACAGTTGCTAAAACTCCCCGGTGCCCAGGCAGGCTTGGGAACCATTGTCTTCCCTGTGGATTAGTCTCATGTTTGGTCATTAGCCAAGCAGACCTCTTTGGTGGTCAGCGTCCACCTCCTGATGGTATCTAGCATCTGACAGTGACATTCAGTGAGTCCCCAAGCTCCTGAGAGTCCTTCAGTGCCCAAGCCGTAGCAAACAAGAAACACACCTTTTTGGTTCTTACAACCACCAACCTCCAGCTCCTGCAAAGTCACCAAGACCCAGCAGATGAGCCACACGTACCATTGCTGGCCTGTGCCCTCTGTGGCCACTTGCAAGTGGCACAGTGCCCCACCTTCTCCACCAAGCACCCCGACTCTTTCTAATATGCACATTTGCCAGTGCCATGGCCCTGGGACCAACTGCTCCCTGCTGGAGGTGCTGCTGACTCACCCTGGATGTTACATGGTAAGCACAGTCCTCACCCCAGGGACTCCACAAGCAGGCCTGGGACTCACCCTCCACACCAACTCCCACTGTGCCACACAGCACCCCTCCTTGCTCCAAGTCTACCCGAGCCCCCGACAGGCAGAGACGTCACAGATGCAGAGGGAGTCCATGCCACGGCCCCTCTAAGTCCCGGCCACTTGGAAGAGGTGCCGCTTGAACAGACCAGCCTTCTACCGGCTCTCAGCTGAGGTGTGACAAAGGCCATGGCAGGGAGCACATGGGACCGGATGGCCTGGAACACCTTGTCCCCTAGCCTGGGAAGTGGTGATTTGCAGTGGGAGTGCTGTGGGCTCCTGAAGGGGACCAGCAGTCTGAAGGGACTCAGAAAGTGGGTGAGCAATGCACCGGAGAGACCCAGCTACTTTTTAAAAAAATATTCTATTTGAAAGCTTGGGACTCTGGTGATAGTCAGTTGTTTACAGGCACCTTTAAGAAACACACAGAGAAGCAGTGGGCTCTGATCTCTCCCACCTTGAGTCCACTCTCCAAAGTGAATGCCACCTTCTAGCTGTGCACTTTTCCATAAACTGAAATGCACCCATCCTATCCTGTGATTAACCCTACATCCACTCCAGATTCCTCGCTGACAGCTGGGGATGGGACACGTCCCTCTCTTGCCCCAAGTCCCCCACCCTCCTCTTCAGTGCCATTCTCCTGATGTCTGATGAGGCTCTGGACACCTGTCTTTTCTCTACCTTTCCCCCCCAAGTCAGTGACAGCTTTAGCTTTATCATCATCAAAGGATGGACAGTGGCTAGGTACTAGAGGATGCAGGGATGCCCCCAGATGGGTAGATGTGGGGAATAGGAAAGGGACGGGTGCTCAGGGCTCAGCCTGTGCAATCACATGGGTGGTTCAGCCATTCTCAGAGAAGGGGGAAGAGAGGCTGGGGTTGACCCAGGACCAAAGCGGTAGAGAAGAGGCATGAGGGAAAGACCCAGAGTGCAGCCAAGGACACCCAGGACTAAATGGGATATGTGCTCAGAGGCGTGGAGCTGGAGGGACAGAGGGAGGTGTGGCAAGGAAGGCGCAGCGTGAAGCATCAACAAAGGATGCAGGGGTGGGTGGAGAGATGATATCTTTCAGGGTGTTGAGAAGGAAGCGTGAGTGTTAGAAGATGCAGGAGATTTGAAGACAGAGAGACAGAGGCGAGGGGGTGAGGAGTGTGCCAAGACACAGGGCTGAGTGCCAGGGGCAGGCAGATGGCCCTTCCACCTAACGCTGAGGACAGGAGAAAGACTGGATAGGGACATGTGAATCCAAATTCAGGCAGCAAAGCTGTCCACAATCCCGTGCCATCAGGGGCTCTTGTTTTCTCCCTGCAACAGATAGCACAGACACCAGCAGAGCGTGAGGGTCCGAGAAGACCCAGGGAGCGTCACATGGCGCAGGAGGGAGTGACATCCGGGTACCAGAGATCCTCAGAGACCAGAGGCGGTCCTTTGCAGTTGTCTTCCTGGTGGCTGCTCCTCGACAGATCTTGCCTCCAGGGAGCAGCAGGGAGGCAGCAGGCTCCTGACTTCCTCCTGGGCTGTCTCTGCCTAACCAGAAGCCTGGTGGGCAGGGAGCAGAGAGCCTGGTTACGAATGAACAAAATGGGGACAGTGCCTGCTCGGGGAGATGATGCAGAATGAAGGGCTTAAGGAAGAGCAGGCGGTGCTCAGAGTCCAGTTTGGAGATGGGCAGATGTGGTGGTGAGGTGCGGGTAGCCATAGGACTGGCGGCTAATGCGGGATGGGATGACGACCCTTGGGAGGTCAAGGAACAGAGGCCACGGGGGCGATGTTGCTATCATCCAGGAAAAAGGCAGGACTGAGTGGGGAGTCTATGCTCACATCTGCCTGCCTTAAAGGGAGGTGGATGGACCCCTGAGATGAATGAGAGGTGCAGAGATCCCTGAGAGCTGGACCTCAGAGGCACAGGGGCCTCACCAGACCATGGGGTCTTGCACACTCTGGACCTTGGATGAGTGTGGGAGGAAGTGGGGACCGGTGTGCCCAAGGGAAACTGGTCTCAGTGCCGCCTGCTGGCTGTGGAATAAGGGCTTGCAACGGTGATCGTTCAGAAGTGTTTATTGGGCAGCACATCTGCTGCAGCTCAGGACAGCCACATGGGCTGGGGTCCTGGAGGAGGCCCAGGGAAAGGCTTGGGCAGGGACATGGGCTGGGAACATGGGAGTACACAAAGGGTAAGAGAAGCTTCCTTCTTGGGCAAAGAGGCCTGTGAGGAAGGGTGGCCTGAACTTCAGCCATGCCCAAGGTCCACGTGGCTGGAGCCCAGGGCAGGGTGTCTGACTGTAAGGTGCGGGTATCACCTACAGAGAAGGGAGGCTCTTGGGGCTCTCAGAGGCCTGGCCAAGCAGAGCCTGGCCCAGGTTGGTGAAGGGCCTCTTGGGCTTGTGTGAGGGTGGAGATGCAACTGGTCAGGCATCCACTGGGACGGGGACTTGTAATCCCAAATCCCTGGGGGGAGCCCCTGCCCCTAGAGTCACGAGTGCTGAGCCTTCCTGTGTCCCCCCCAACCCCCCCGTGGGAGACACTGAACTGCGAGGCCGTGAAGGAGAGAAGGAGGGCCAAAAAACTGTTGAGCCACTGGGCTTAGCGGGGAGATCCTTGGAGGGAATGGCTGCGGGATGGCGCTGCGCTGAGTGCCCGGTGGGGCAGGCCGAAGATCCTTCGCAGGCGGCTAGCAAGCTCCTGGGTATCAGCAGGATGCCTGGGAGGTACTGTGGTGACAGGGGTGGTGGCCTGTGCCATGGGGGGTGGCAGAGTCTGTACAGTGGCCTGATACTGGCGGAGGACATGGTGAAGGCTGATGGCTCTCTGTGCCCTGTGCAAGCGTGTGCGGATCCCTCGGAGGACGGTAGTGAGCTTCTGGTGATCAAGAGGCTGGCGGGGACCGGCGCTGGGGGCTGCAGCAGGCTGGGCAGGATGCTGGGGAGGTCAAGTTGGGGGGTGGCATGTGCCTAGGGGCCGATGGGAGGCCCCTTGTGCTCTCTACAGCAGGGAAGAGGCTGGCGAGGAGGGTGGCTCGGGGTCTCTGGTGGTTCCAGGCACTTCCAACACAGACCTCAGCCCGAGTGCTGGAAGGGACCTTGGGCCACCCAGTCCAGCCTTTTGCTCTACCCCATCCCTTTCCCTGGACATGGGACAGCCCAGCCTCTAATAACACACTGCAAGGGACAGAAATGTCGCTACCCACAAGGCCACGGGATGGTTTTAAAGTTCTTTCTTACATAGAGCCAAAACTTGCTAGTCTGGCCCCTGTGACTGCACACCTTTCACCCCACCAGTCCTCATTGTCTGGGACAAGCAGGGAGTGAGTTCTCCTCCAGCCCTCCTCATGGGGGATTTAGGGAACAGAAAATGCATGAGGAAGTTGCAAAGGCCTTGGACCCTGCAGAGGAGAGTGGGCTCTGAAAGGATGCGCACTACCAGGCATCTTGAAAGAGCACATCTGGCCACCAAAGGCACCCAACCTGGCATGGGAAGCAGGCAGGGAAGTCAAGGCATGTGGCTAGCACTTGCAGAGACTTTTTACAACAGGTTAGGTCTCACTGTCTAGCTGGAAAATTCCCCTCTCCCCCATGCAAGGTGAATTTGAGAGTCACACATGGTGACTATGGCCCCTGGGACCTGGAATGGGGGGCAGCAGGAATCCCTGGCCGGCCTTCTGGGCCACTCACCAAGTTCTCAGCATCAGAGTCTTCTGAACTGCTGATCACCACGATGGGCTCATCTGGAATGGAGAGTAGGGGCAGCGTTGGGGACCCTCTGGGTGCACACCTGGAGAGTGTGTTAGTGGGGCGTGGGGGTCATGGGGTGGGAAAGGAGGGTCATGGTCAGGGTGTGGGATCCCTGCAGGCCAGTGGGCCAGGGGGCGGGTGGCAGTGTTCTGCCAGGGGCAATGAGAATGCATGCTGTATATACGAGTGGACAGGCTTTGAGTTTGGGTTTTTCACAAATGGATTTCTATCATTTCCAGTTGTGTGTCATCTATGAATATTTATTTAATCTACTGGCCATGAATTGAGAAAATTCTTCCTGTACAAAGAGCCTGACAACTGACAACCATCCTGGGTTTGGAGCTTTTTCTTTTTGGTACTGGGATTGAACTCAACCCTTATTTTTTTTGTTTTGAGATAGGCCCTCACTAAAGCAGTCCAGGTTAGGTTGCCCAGGTTAGATTCCAACTCGTAATTACTGCCTCAGCCTCCCAGAGTACTAGGATTACCGGTATGCAGCACCGCCCTGGCTGGAAGGTTTTGCAATGCTCAAGAAGAACACTGATTTCCTCTAATCTCAAGGAATAGCAGGCAGGACACCATGTGTGACCAGGGTTGGGGCCCTGTCGGGAGCCTCTGTAATGCAGAATAAAGACAGGCTCTCTAGTTCCAGAATAGTTAGGGTTGACCTCAGCTCCTTCCTGAGGACTCAAGTCTCCCTGTCTGGCAGGGTCCATAAAAGATATTAGTGAGGACAAAGGAGATACCTAGGTGGGTAGTGTTTGCGGAACTGGGGAAATGCGCGGGTAGACTTCACCTCTCTGGGAGCGTCAGATGCTCGCCAACAAGCATTTGATGTACTGCAACCACCTGTGTAGAAGCCTGGGGTGGGCACTGGAAGTGAACTGGGGAAAGAACTCAAGGAACGACATGACTCGGCCTTCAGTATCCCCAAGCTGGAATCAAACAGGGCACATGGTAGCTCGTACAGATTCCCACCCTCGGGCAGCTCGTGGGCTGTCCCTCCCTGTTCTGTGGTGGCTCAGAGTAGGACCCACAAGGGGATCCTGTGGGCTCTTGGCTCCCTGGGGGTCAGACTGCAGAGGGGGCCTCACTCTGCCATTGCCGCCCCACCCCCACCCTACCTGCCTCTGCTGCAACGCCAGTCACTTGGCTGCTGTTGGACTGCAAGACCTCTTTTCCCACGGTGGGGCTCTCAGGCTGGGGAGGCCTGTCCAGGTGCGGAGGCGAAACTGCCCTGGAGGTGCTGGGCCTGGGCTGCTCGCCGGGGCTGGGAGCCAAGGGCAGCTCCTTGTCCTCCTCTGACTCCAACTTGATGATCTTCCTGGAGCTCTGGGTCTGGCAGGACTTTCTCTTCTGGGAGGAGGCTTCGTTGGAGACCTGTGTGGGGGCAGTCACAGCACCGGGTCAGGTCTCTCCAGGGTTGGCGGTCAGAGGCCGAGACTGGGTATCAGTGCCCTATGGCCTGTGGCCACATCTTCTTTTATTTTAATTTTTTTTTCAGTACTAGAGATTGAACCCAGGACTTTGTGCATACCAGCAAGTACTCTGTCATGGAGCTACATCTTTAGTACTTTTTATATTTAATTTTGAGACAAGGTCTTGATAAGTTACTATGTTGCCCAAGCTAGGCTAAAATGTGTGATCCTCCTGCCTCAGCCTCCTGAGTAGCTAGGATTACAGGCCTGTGCCACCGTGTTCAGTACTGTGCCACCATGTTCATATCTCTGTTCCTCCTCCCTCTGCTCTCTCTTCTGCTCTCTGCCATTCAAACCATGCCTCTCATATACAGGAAGCCTCCCAGGCTGCCATGCACATTGGTCCTGGGGCTGCCAGCCCCTGCCAACCTTTGCCAGCCTCTGAGGGCCCTGGGGTCACAGTGGCCAGTTGGGCTGGAAGCTATGCATGCCCAACTTCCTGATGGTGTAGCCAAGAGCAAGGGAGAGGGCAGACTGCGCATCAAGCAGATCCTTCCTCAAGAGGAGCCAATAACAGCCAGACTCTTCCCCGCTGCTCCCTGCCTGGGTAGAGCTGGGCCTGGGGGAGGGAGACATGACCAGCAGAGCCTTACCTCTCCAGATGAGGGGCTTCTGATGGAGAAGGCATAGATGGGCATGGGAGGTGCTCTGGGGACCAACTGCACCACGGCCGCTGGCTGGGCTTCAGATAACCCCAGGGCATTGGCCTGTGACTTCTCTGCCTCGTTGGGCTGTGAAGTTGGGAAATAAGAATCAGAAACAATCCAGGGACTCCAGGCCTGCAGCCAATCACAGGTGCATGCTCCCTGGTCCCAAGCTTTGTGCTCACTGGAGACAAGGAGCCTTCTCCAAACGTGCCACGACTCCATCTCCTCCAGACCCCAGGATGGTGGAAGCTACAGGTCAATTCTCAAGTCTCCTGATACCTCAGGTTCCACACTGCCCAGCTTCTCCTCAAGATGTGTCCGAAAGCCAGCCCAGCGTGTGTGCCCAGGGAGAAGGTGCTCACCGCTAAGGACTGTAGCTTCCTCAATAACACAAAGTTCCAGTGAGAGAAAGATCCTGGCACCCGGCGGACCAGGGCCCTGTACACTTAACTCCCCCTGGACAGCTGTGTCACAAATCGGGCCAGTTCCTCCAAACTCTTTGGCTTTAGCCTCCTTCTGTAAAATGAAAATAACACCTCCCTCATCCAGCAGTGTGAATGACAGTTTCAACACAGGTGCAATGCTTGGAAAGTGTCATTAATACCAGGGATGATGATGAAGGTGGAGATAAGTGATGTTTTATGACAACTCTGTGCTGGGCTCAGTGCTAAGAGCTTCATGCACCTACGATGAACTAGGTGGGCAGGGTCTCATCAGGTGAAACAAAGCATGACCATACAACCCAGCTACGCCACTCCTCAGCATGTACTCCAGACAGACACGTAGACGGAAACCCGTACACAGGGCTGGGAGTGTAGCTCAGTGGTAGAGCTCATGCCTAGCAGGGATGAGGCCCTGGGTTTGATTCCCAGGACTGAATAAAATATATACTTTTTTATACTTCTAAATTTATGTGTGTGCCGGGCGTGGTGGTGCATGCTTGTAATCTCAGCACTCGGGAGGCTGAGGCAGGAGGATCGTTGAAAGTTTGAGACCAGCCTGGGCTACAAAGTGAGCTCAAGGCCAGTCTGAACTGCATAAGGAGACCCTGACTCAAAAAGACAATAAATAAATAAATAAATAAATAAATAAATAAATAAATAAATTTATGTGTGTGGCATTGGAGATTGACACCAAGGGTTTCACAAGGACTAAGCCCTGCAAAAGTAATGCACTGACAGGCTCCAATAAACACCTTCCAATAACTCAGTGTCCACTGTCTCAACTCCCCAATCAAAAGACAGACTGGAAGACAGGATTGAAGAACAACATGCAACCGTGTATTACATCCAGGAGACACAACTCCAAAAAGAAGGCCACAGCCTGAAGTGAAAGGATGGAGATGAATGCTAGTCTCCTGGAGCCTGAAAACAGGAGTCTTATTTTCAGGCTCAGTAGATTTTAAACCAAAAGTGGCCAGAGGAGACAAGAATGGCCACTACATACTGGTAAAGGGAACAATTCAACAAGAAGAGGTAACAACTGCAAATATCTACGCATGAAATGTTGGTGCACCCGGCTTCATAAAACAAGAACTACTGGACTTAAAAGGCCAGCCACCAACACAGTCACACTGGGGGACTTTGATACCTCCTTCTCCCAGTCAGACAGGTCAACCAGACCATAAGAAAAAAAAACAAACAAACAGAGTTAAACCACATTATTGAACAAATGGACTTAAGAGATGTCTCCAGGGGGTTTCATCCACCACCAGCAGAATACACCTTTTTATAGAAGAAGTACATCAAACTTTTTCTGAAATAGACATATGTTAGGCCTTAAAGCATGCTTAGGTAAATACGAAAGAACCGAAATAATCCCTTGCATACTACTGGATCATAGCACAGTGAAGGTAGAAATCAGCAGAGCACAATAATAATGATGACAATAATACAAAAGGTCAATGAATCAAAGAGTTGGTTCTGGGCCTGGGATATAGCTCAGTGGCACAGCGCCTGCCTGGCAAGCACAAGGTCACGAGTTCGATTCCCGGTACAAAATAAAAGTTATATACACCAGTTCCCCCATGGCGAGTGTGTTTATTATATATCACAAACATGTACAAATAAAAAAGGAAGCGAATACTCAGCACAGCAGATACAAAGAACAGAAATGGACTTTTGGTATTTTTTTTTTTTTTTTAAAAAGTTAGGTATCCATCCTGCCTCTAGCTTGCTTGTGTGCCCTTGGGTCCATAGCTTTTCTCTGGGCCTTAGCCTTATCCTCTATAAAAGAGGACTCCATGCTCTCTCCTGGATCTAAAATTCTCCAACTCTAAACTCTGCCTCCTCCAGGAAGCCTCTCCTGACTACCTCAGCCCATAGCCAACCCTCTCTCCTATAGGTCACACCCTTGCAAAGCTAGAAAGGCTTCCCACCCCTGCCTCTTTTTCAGGGAGGACTGCTTATTCTTGGGCCCAGATCCTTGACAGGCAGCACACTGACCAGAGTGACCAGCTGCCAGGGCCAGGAAGGGAATGGGAGCTCATGCTATTGGAGGGGGAGCCCGGCCTGTGAACACCACTGCATCCCCTGGGGAAGCCCTTTCAGAGTCAGAGCAGCTCAGAGATGGGAGCAGCCGTTTGCAGAAAGAGCGAGCTTAGAGGATTGTGAAGGTGGGATGCCCATAGGTTACAGGAACTACAGAAGGAACGCCCAGAAACTGTGGTTCATGCCAGGCGTGGTGGCGCATGCCTGTAATCCCAGCACTCAGGAGGCTGAGGCAGGAGAATCGTTGCGAGTTTGAGGCTAGCCTGGGCTACAAAGTGAGTTCAAAACCAGCCTGAACTGCACAGTGAGACCCTGTCTCAAAAAGACCAAAATAATAATAATAATAAAATAAAATAAAAAAGAACTGTGGTTCTCAGGTATCTGATGTCCTGGAGTATGCAGAAGCCAGGCTGCTGGAAGAAAGACTGGTCCTTGGTCCTAGTCTCTGTTCTATTTCCAGAACCACATGTGGGAAAATAGAAGGTCCACCTGTGGTGGCCTCAGGAAATGGTCAACATTGGTGTGGGGTTGAGGGACAGGGAAGGCCATGTGCCACAGCTATCAGGGCCATTCCAGCGACCACTTTCTTCACTGCCTGTCTATCTCTGGGCCTCACTTCTCTAAAGCTGGCTCATGGCCCACTGACTTCAGCATTCAGGACCCCGGTGCCAGCCAGCCGACCCCTCCTTCATGCCCTCTTTTAACCCTTCCCAGGATGGCTCCCATCCAGCCACTCACTGTCCCTCCGCAGTACACTCCCTGAAGACACAGTGATAGGGGGCTCCCAACTCTCCTGCACCTGCCCGCCACCCCTTCCCACCACATAACTCTTACCTGGTCACCAACAGAGGAGTCACTGGGGGTGCTGGAGGCTTCTGAGATGACCCTCCTGGACAAAGTGGCATCTGGAGAACATAGAGAAGGGACAGGCAGTTCAGGGACACCCCAGGGAGGGGCATCCTGGCCTGGGATGGGCAGGAGGACTTTGTTGCTTCTCCCGGGTACACTTTCCTCAGGGCATCCACAGCTGGCTGGCAGTGGGAAAGAAAGCTCCCTAACTGCAGAGGGAGGGACCCAGGTGGAAGGAAGGGAGAGAGGATGGCATCGCAGAGCCCTAACCCAAGTGCACCCCTCTCCATCTCCGGGTCACCAGCAGGGAAAGACAGGGACAGTCCTAAAGCCATTCCTGCTCATGGACTCTCAGGTGAGAGCTTCATGCTGCTCTTCCTGATATGTTTTTATTAAACATAATTTAAACCTCACCTGCTTCAGGATAACATAACCCTCCTTTCTGCCACTGCCCAGTTATGATATACAAGGCAAGGTGTTTAACTCACTGGCCTCACTTTCCCGGAAATATGAGGCATACACCACCACCCACCTTTTTGCGGTCGGAGGATTGAATCCAGGGCCTTCACATGGAGCTATATAACCCCAGCCCTTTACTTTTTAAATTTCGAGACAGCGTCATGCTAAGTTGCTAAGGTGCCCACGCTGGGCTCGAACTTCTGATCTTCCTGCCTCAGCCTCCCAGAGAGTTCTGGGACTACAGGCATGTGCCACCGCCCCCAGCCAGGTCTCTATAAGCCTTTACATGACTAACGCCTGGGCACTCACCTGTCCCCTGGGGGATGCAAGAGATGAGGTCCTGTAGGCGCACCTTGATCTCATCGAAGCTGTCAGCGCGCACTGGGGCCTGCAGGTGCTGGGGCTCCTCCTGGCGCAGGCGGCACAGCGCCTCGCGCAGGAAGCCGTGCATGTCCAGCATCTCCTGGTCGGAGGCGTAGCGCTTCATCCTCTGCACCAGCGTGCCCCCCACGCGGATACGCTGCAGCACAGCGTCTAGGCGACCCAGGCGTCTGGCCATGCCCTCGTAGTCACGCTGGTACCGCGCTTGCACAGCCTCCAGCAGCTCGCGCTCCCGCGCCTGCACGTGCGCCACCACTTGGCGCACCTGCGCGCGGATCTGCTCCTCCGTGTCAGCACGCGCATGGCCCAGCTGACGGATGGCGGAGCTCACCTGCGCTCGCACCGCCCCGAAGGAGCCATCCTGCTCCTGCAGCGCGCGTGCCATCACATCCAGCTCAGACTGCCACTGCTGGATCTCCATGCTGATGTCACACCTGAGGTCGCCGTGGTCGCGGTCCAGGATCGCACAGGAGCAGCATAAAGGCTTGGAGCAACCTCGGCAGTAGAGGCTGTGGACACACAGGGCCAGCGTAGGTCAGGGCTGGCCTGCCCCTTTTCTCTTTCAATTTTCGTGATTAAATTGTCTTCCTAAGTTGCCAAACTTTCTGTCACAGTGTTTCTAGGTTCGAGCTTTCCCTGATTCATCCATGGTTATGATGATTGTGCCCAAACTATCAATGAAACTGAGTGTAAAAGGTTATTACAGTAACAGTTTCTCCATCTACGTGACAATGCAGAAATAAGCACAAAGTAACCACCTCTAGGCACCTCTGAGCTCCCTGCAAGGGAGGCCATCGCTGAGCATGGTGGAATGGACATTCATCATCGCCCTTAACCTTTGCCAGAGCCTGCTGGGTGAGAAGAATCACTACTTTCACAGCTGAGAAACTGCACACGCACACATTAAATCAGTCGCCAGATATCACAACCAGCTAGGGTGAGGATTCCCGACCAAAGTGGGAAGCGAGAGGACATGTCTTCATCTGTGTTTCTAGTCTCTCCCACTGCTCCATCACCTCATCTCCCTCCTGAAAGGTCAGTGTGGGCTCAGAGTCTCATGGGAGTGCAGACCCTACTGAGAACTGTGCATCGAGAGATCTAGGCTGATGGTGCCTTTGAATCATCCTAAAGCCATCCCTACCCAGCCCATGCATGGAAAAACTGTCTTCCCTAAAACCGGTTCCTGGTGTCAAAAAGGTTGGGGGCCGCCAGCTCAAGGGGTTGATGTTTAAAATCTTTCTAAAAACATCAGTTCCAACTATATTATTTCTGTGTGACTCCCTTCTCTAATCTCACTTCCATTCAGGACATTTCTCCAGGTCCACAGGCATAGATTCAGTGTCTGACAGCTCCATCCTATTCCAGACGGGTAACTGACTCAATCATTGTCCTACTGACAGACACTCATGTAACAGCCTGTTCATGTATTTTTTCCCTTTTGTTCTTTCTTTCTTTCCTTCCTTTTTATTTATTTAATTTTTTTAGCCAACGTGGACAATGATTTAATAACAACCACATTAGGTAACCTAATGCTTTGGAACAGTACAAATCACAGGTTTACTAGATCAAAGAGTGTGTATTTCTACTTTTCTTTTGAGTCAAGGTCTCACTATGCAGTTCAGGCTGGCCTTGAGCTCACTTTTGTAATCCAAGCTGGTATCAAACTTGCAACGATCTGCCTGCCTCAGCCTCTTGAATGCTGGGATTACAGGCGTGTGCTACTACACCTGGCTGAATTGTATTTCTACTTTAATGCTTTATGTATTTAATATATTTTAATTAAGGATAGGTATGTGAGGTAATGGATATATTCTTTAGTTTTAGTCTTCCATAATGTATATATATAATTATTTATATATATATATATTTTGTGTATATATATGTATATACCATAAATATATACAACTTGTGAATTATATATATGATTTTTTTAAAGCTAGCAGACAGTTGCATAGTTTTTCCTATATTCATCCTCCTACCAATCCTGTGACTATGTTAGCCTCCAAGGCTAAGGGGACTTTGGTAGTGTGGCTGAATTCAGAAACTTGATATAAAGAGATGAACTGGACTGTCTGGGAGGGTCCAGTGGGGTCCAAGAAAGTAACACAGGAGAAAGGGGTGAGGCAGGCAAAGGAGAGAAGGTGTGATGTGTGATGGGAGCAGACAATGCAGTGATGCCATGTTGCCGGCTCTAAAGACAGGAGGGGCCCTGTACCAAGGCATGTGGGCAACCTCTAGAAGGAGAGAACAGCAAGAACACAGAGCATTCTTCCAAAAGGGCACAACACCCCTGGCACCTTGACTTGATTTCAGAATCATTTCACATTCCTGACTTCCACAGCAATAAGATAACATATCTGCTAAGCTGGCATGGTAGTACACACCTAGAATGCCTGCACTCGGGAGGCTGAGGCTGGAGGATCTGCAGTGAGTTCAAGGCCAGCCCTAGCTACATAGCGAGTCTTTGTCTCACTCTCCTTATTCCTCAAAAAGGAATGTTACATCTGTAGAGTTCTATGCCACTAAATTTGTAGCAACCTTAATCATGTTATAGCAGCCATAGAATACTAATAGAGAAACTCAGGCAGGTAGGCTCGGAGTCCATGCTCTTAAATTGCAATGCTCCTTCTTCAAATGTTAGGAGAAGGTGATGTTAGTTATTTCCCCCAGAAGTGTTGCCATAGTAATTTACTCTCACCAGCAATGAAAAGAAAAAGTGAGCAGGCTTGAGACCAGGAGGAAGGTCTTAGCTGGAGCCACTGTGGCCTAAGTTACTGAGATCACCTATCCTGGAGCTATGACTCGCGCCTGCTTGCCAACCCAACCCCCAGGCCTTGCTCTTTAGCCACACCAGCACGTGGCCTTCCCAGGGCTCCCGAGGGGTGAGGTCCCATGGCTTGAGCCTCCTGGCCAAACTCAGGAGACCATTGCTAGGCCAGCAGAGGTTTCCTGGAGAGCCCAAAGTAAGGGAAGCAAAACAGGCATTGCCGACGGGTACTGAGCATTGAGTTCCCCAACCTTAGGGAACCTGATCCATGCAATAGAGGCTTATTATCCAGAGATAGTGGCTGAGACAGGCTGCAGCTTGAGCAAAAACAGGGCTCAACGACAGGGATCCAATGTTGGCCCCAGGCGCTTGGCAGGTCTCTAATCTTCTAAAGCCTCGGTCCTCTGATAAGACTGAGGTGCAAAGTAGATGTGGTAGCCCCGGGCCTGTAATCCCAACCCTCTGGCTACAACAGGAGAATCACAAATTCAAGCCCAGCCTAGGCAATTTCGTGATTTAGCAAGACCCTGTCTCAAAAAATAATTTTAAAAAATGGCTGGGGATGTAGCTCTTAGTGTAAATGTCCTGGGTTTAGTCCTCAGTACTGCAAAACAGAAACAAAACAATTTATGATTCCCAAAGCAATGGGAGAATTCACACAATGCATAGATGCCACTGCCCAAAAATTCAAGGGCTACATTTTTTTGCACAGCCATTCATGACTTACATTACATAACGAAGGCACATTATACAACACCAGGTGTGATTCATTTTGCTTGGGCTGTCATTGAGTGGGGGTAGGGTGTAGCTTCATGGCAGAACACTTGCCTCTCAAAGTCAGGGCCCTGGCCCCAATCCCCAGCGCCACAAAATGAATAAGCAAAGAACAAATAAATGAGATGCTCATAGAGATAGCAAGAAGGAAAAGGTCTATAGCAATGCAGAAATCATTCTCCCTTTTCTTTCTCCCTCCTTTTACCAATTTGGATCTTGCAAAAGTTTTGGTAACCAATTCTAAGCAAAGGGGGCCTTTGCAAGTCATACAGTCACTCAAAGAACATCCTTTCTAGCAATGCAACCAGGCTCGTTCTCCCTCCCTGACATGTAGAATGCTGGTTATCCCTTTATGACCATTCACCGAATTTCCTACATCAGTGATCCCCCTACCCCCTAGGGCTAGGAATCAAACCCAGGGGCACTCTGCCACTGAACTACATCCCCAGCCTTCCTTTCAACTTTTTATTTTATGGAAGGTCCTTGCTAAGTTGCCTATATGGGACTTGAACTTGCAATGCTCCTGTCTCAGCCTCCCTCGGTGCATCAGTGATACCTTAACAGAAGCCTTATCATGCTTCCTGGGGTCTCGGTCTTCCCATTCTAAAGTTGAGGGGTCTACACTGTCCCTTCCAGATACTGTGGGTGTGGACAGCAGAAAAGATGTAGGTTCCTGAGAAGACAAAGCCTGGCCTGTATCTGAGCTCTGCCACTTGCTGGCTGAGCTAATTTTTTGTTTTGTCTTTTTGAGACAGGGTCTCGCTGTGCAGTTCAGGCTGGCCTCGAGTTCACTTTGTAGCCCAGGCTGGTCTTGAACTTGCAATGATCCTCCTGCCTCAGCCTCCCAAGTGCTGGGATTACAGGTGTGGGTCACTGCTACCAGTCTAGCTGAGCTCTTGAGCAATTTCTCCAAGTCTTCATTTATCCCCCTGTAAAGTGGGGATAACAATGCTTGCCTTTCTCAGAGACTCCTTCCAGGGCAAAGACTGCGGGTTGGTGTAAAGTGCTCAGCTCAGTGTTAGGGGCTTATACTAGAGCCATGAAATGAGACTATGATATAGCTTCCATGGCAGGGATCATAAGGCAGGAGACCGGGGTGGCTGGGCGATTACAGGACCTGTCAGCTGTGGGGACTTGCGAACTACGAGCAAGCGCAGAGCAGCAGCTTCTGCGCCCTCCACCTGGCACCAAGCTGGGAAAGCAGACTTACACTCTTCCGGCATGGGATCTTCACGGGACCATGCCAAGTCCTGCACTTTGTTCCAAGCTTCCGGCAGAAGAGAGCATAAAAGACAGTGGTCATTAAGCTTGGGGCTGCTGTGAGCCTTCTCAGAAGGCTGTCTTGCCACACCCTGTACAATACTTCCTTTGCTACTTTACCTGGCCTCCGCTCACTTTGCAGAGCCTTCTTTCAGAGCTTTTCTCTCTTTTTTTTGGTCTTTTTGAGACAGGGTTTCACTATGCAGTTCAAGCTAGTCTTGAACTCACTTTGTAGCCCAGGCTGGCCTTGAACTTGAAATGATCCTCCTTCCTCAGCCTCCCAAGTGCTGGGATTACAGAGGTTTTTATTTCTTGAACACTTCTTTTGTATTTTTTTTTTCCAGACAACAAGAAGACAGCACCAAGGAGTGTGTCCCAAAGCTGTCCCCTTCCCAGAGAAGGCAGGCCACCCCAGTCCGGCCTCCCCTCCTGCTACAACCAGAGAAGTGGGTCATTTCTGTGGTTGATGGAAACGGAGCTCAGAAGTGCAGCAAGTGGAAACGCTATGAAAACGGAGCCAGAGAGCCGGGTGTGGTGGCGCAAGCCTGTAATTTTAGCACTCAGAGCCAGGAGTTCAAAGCCAGCCTGAACTACATAGCAAGACCCTGTCTCAAAACACAAAACAAAAAGGACTGGGGCGCTGGCATTGCAGCAGGATTCAGAGGCAGGTCCTGGCCTGCCTGCATGGCAGTTGGAAAACCGCTCTCT